GTATATCCCATGCCATATAACAGTGGTGGCCAACCTGCGGCTCCGGAGCCACATGCGGCTATTCAGAAGTTTTTATGCATCTCCTTGAATCTTTGCACAGGCACACGGTGATCAGCTTCCATTTGAAGAGCCACACGTGGCTCCAGAGCCACGGGTTGGCCACCCCTGCCATATATAAGCAAAAAGGTCCATCCACTGGTGACCTGAGACTGCATTTGTAATGCCTTTTTTTTATAGGCTTTTCCTACAGCACTAGTCCCTGTGGCGTCTGAGTATGTCAAAAGCCAAACACCACAGCATGATAAGAGCCTATGGACAAAAGAATAAGGCATCATGGTATTTATCCTCTGAAACCCCCATAAGAAGAGGAAGGACCAGAATCCCCATTTTACAGATGGAGAACTGAGACCTAGAAAAATAAATGACTTGACCAGTTGATACAGGAAATCTTCAGCAGAGCCTGGAAAAGGCTTAGATCTCTCCACATAGGCATCAAAGGCCCTCAACCAAGAATTAACTTCCTGTCCATTCTCCCTACACAACTCTGATACAGCCCCATCTAGAACAGCACGTTCAATCCTGGGCACCTCAGTACCAAAACAGTGTCAAGTGAACTGAAAGCAACTTCTAAGCAAATAAAAATAATTATAGGGTTTTATAATTATAGAAGGAAGGAATTACAAATAGAAATTTAAATAATTTGACCAAATGATGGCTAAGGGGGGGGAGGGGGTCATTTTAATCATCTCTATATATTTGCAGCCTTTAAAAAGACGTCGTTTAGGGAGACACAGCGCAAGTCTACCCCTGCATTAATCCACCGTAATTGCTTAGTTTTACAGGTACTAACTTAATGCGTGGAAATCAGCACTCCTGTGCATGTCTTAAGTGATGCTAATGCTCAGTAAACTAATTATAATATTAGCGCATTAGCACGGCCTTCACCATGATGTGCTAATGTGTAGTAGAATTGGTCTGCTGCGCTTTTAGCATCTCATGTAGACGCGCCCACAGTGTGTTATGAATTTGTGGGGTAATGTGAAGAAAAGAAATGGTTTGCATTACCAGAACATAATACCTAAAGGCAAAAAATCCTGAGGATCACATCATGCTTGTTTGAAGTCTCTGGGGGTGTTCCTGTTGATTCAAACAAGCATTGTATCAATATCAGGCCATATTACAGTATGGAATCGTTTCCCAAGGGAAGCCCTTCAGAAAAAGAAGAATCGTCACTTTGCCTGCTATAATATACTGAACACATTGTCAGAACTGAACAAGTAACCATGAATAAGGTGTTGGAAATCCCATGCTTCAGATACTGAAGATTAGACAGGAGTAAAGCATGGGAAGTATTCTGTAGCAAGCAAAGAACTTGGTGGCATGAGAATAAGTTCTGCTTGGCTGGAAAACTGGTTACTTTTAAGTGACCTGCCTGGGATTTTTGCTTTGCAGATTTTTAGTATTCTGTAACCACAGGCATGTTTTGATTTTGCATGTGTATGAGTGAAAGAGCAAGAGAGAAAAAGTGTACACACATGCACATCTATGCCTGTGTGTGTGGCAAGTGAAATATAAATAGCATCGTAAAGAAAACAGGACAATTTCTGTAGACATGGAATAAAAAAAATAAATGCGCTCCTGTCTTAGCTTGCATTGGGCTGCAGGTTGTAGTCAGGGAATCAAGTGGACATTAGCTTAATCTGCTGGGGAATTAAGAATTACTTCGCAAAGGGATAGTGTACAATCGCTTTGTCTCCAAATTGCCATCTGGCAAGTCACACGAGAGCAATTCGGCAATGATTTAGCATTCCTCAATTATAAGGAAACCCCAATGGACAGATTTTTAAAAAACAGGGGGGTTGGGAAACAGTAACTAAAAATACATGCCAGAGAACTGGTTATTGTAAAACAAGGGATTGGCACAGCCCAGTGTAAAAGTTGTCTTCCAAAAAAGTCGTGCAGGCAGGAGTTGCATCGTGCCGATTCTTCAGCTGGAAGATAAGTCTCCAGCAAAGAGACATTCAGTTTTGCTCAACAACAGAAAACCATTATGTGCTACCAGAACTAGACTAATGGAATAAATCTACCCTATTAACATGAAAGATAATTTTATGTAAATTTATTAGGAAACCTTCCTACTAGGGCTAAGAGTCTTTGCAGTACCACTTAACTTGTTTGTAGTATAATTGCATTTAGACCAAGGTCCTCTGAAGGAAACGGCTGACTAAATTAGCATTAACCAGGTTCCTGGGGGGCTTAGTGCATTGTGGGTAGTCCATCTTGCCTCCAGAAAGGACACATCGACACACAAGAGGCCAGCTGCTTACAATGCATAGTGCTAATTGCTTTCCCCCGCCCACCCCCCAAATGGGGCAAATTTCCTCACCTGGGGAAGCAGAAGATTTGAGTATCTAACTTGGCAGTCTGGGTTTCAGTTTCTTTCTTATTCCTATCCCCACTTCACCTCCTTTATCTGAACTCAGATTTTTCCTTACTGCAACTGGGGAAAGACGTCCCCTGTGACAGAGAGTTGTCCTTATCGCATGTAAATAAGAAGTGGTTGTTAATGGTTCTTAGAGGTCTTCTGGATCAGGTGAACTCACCCGAGAGCTACTCATTTCTGAAGAGGGCCAGGTGTAGTCTAAATCAGTGAGCAAATCAATTAGCAAAAAAAAAATAGGAGGGTGACAACTTGGAGAGTTGTCGAGCAAGACAGCAGAATCGCTTGGTGGAATCTGGAAGTGCAAGTGTACTTGTTCACGCTCTTCCTTTCAGGGTAGCTCTTTAGTTGCCGTCATCCTTTTGCTTGTAACTGTGTAGCCGTTACCTCTCCATGAAGATATAAAGGCTCATAATAAAAGCAAAAGGCCAGATCCTCAGCTGATATAAGACAATATAACTCCACTGCCATCAGATGAGCATCCAGCCCCGTATTATCATGTTACTCAGAAGCTAGTAACTGTTTGGAGCTGGAGAGAGTTATTATCCTAACTGCTGATTGCAGGTTGTCGGGGCATCCAGCATGACACCTAAAACTTTTGTTGTCTCTTCATACCTTTGTGTTTAGTTCCTGGGAGGCAAAAGAAATCAGGGGCACCCCTTCAGCACGGCTTCACAAAACCATGCTATGTGTATAGCCCCTGGATATGCACAGAAAGAACACACAGCCATTAGTGATTCAGCATGTGTGATTCCTCCTTCATGGTGATCTGTTGACTTCAGTGATTAGGTTGATCCTTTGTAGTATCTTAGTTGCTCTGTTTGTCAAGTAGGATTATTCATGCTTACCCCCTGCCACAAGGTAGTGCAAGTTCAGCTGTACATTTGTCCGGTGCTTTTTAACAATGCAGTACAAGCACAGATATTATTTTAACAATTGGCCTCGTTCTTCTCTTACATTAGTGTTAACTGGGAATAATTCAGCTGAAACCAGCAGAACTACGCCAGGGTAAAACTACTATAAATACATGAAAAGTCAAGTCTGCTATCCTATTTTCTCTTGGACTGAGCCAGAGAAACATGGGAATCCAATGACATTTCATGATGCCGCAGCATCAGATTGAACCTTCACAAGCTTTTGTTCATCGCAAAACTCCCTGCCTAAGTCAACAGGGAGTTCTGCTGAAGACTCCTTGACATGACAAATAAGTTTACCTTCCGTGTTGTGGAATAAGTGCCCCATTAAGCCCTTCTTCACTACAAATCATCTTTGTTCTCCCTGTGCCATGCAGTTTGTGGCATGTTGGTGCACTACCTTGGCAATATCTTGAGGTACCCGTGGCGCCGCATGTTAAATAAGAGACCATATCTGTCCTTTTCTACACATTGAGGGCCAAGTCCTCAGCAGCTATAAATCCATGTTTTGCTCCACCGAAGTCTCTCACTATGAATAGGTGGACGATAAATAGAGCGCTGATGATTTATGTTAGCTGAGGATTTGTCCCCAAGGCAGCACAAACATTGGCTTTCAAACTCCTCTGCCAGCTAGGATGACATTTTCTGCTAAGTTCACACATTGGGTCCTGCCAATACACAGATACCACAGTTCGTTGCTCTCCGTCAGAAATGGATCCTGAATGATCCCTCAGAGATCATTAGAGATGCACATTGATTTATGTTTTGAGAAAACTCCTGGCATCACAATATAGTATGATGTACAAATTAGGGCTTTGAACTGGGACTTTGGGATCAGGGCTTGTTTCTCTTTGGTCCTGCTACAGATTTGTTGAGTGTCCTTGAGTGATTCAAATCCTCTTTTTATCTTCCCTCCCTGAAAAATGTTCACCTCTTCTTAGAAAGTCTTACGGCTTGGCTTGCAAGTGCTTTGAGCTCACTGAATGAAAAGCACTGCAGAAGTATGGCACGCCCCAAATTGGCGTGACATATAAAAGAGTATAATGCACAAAATATATAACCTGCGAAAGAACCTGCTGTTAACAAACACAGTTACCTAGGCGTCCTGCAAAGGGACCAGTCTGATCCTCGTGATGTTGCCATCACGTTTTCCCCAAGCAATAACTTCTGCTTCTGACCTCTGGAAGAACTCCATCGCTAGGTCCACTGTGCCTCTTTGATTGTGAGGCCTTTCTCGCCAGAAACAAGCTCAGGCAGGATTTGGTGCATTTCCACCCTCCTGCAGTCTAAAACATGTGTTGTCCGTAAGTAGAACAATATTGTCAAGACACTGTGAAATTCAGTGGGCAAGAGCCCAATGTCAGTATATTATCATGTGCCCTGCAGGAACAGATTGTGCAGAGAAGTGCACGGCCCAGCCGCTGTCTGTTCCAAGGGTAGGTCGTGCAGCCAAGTGCTGCCCTCCATTGTGCACGCACAAGTCAGCGAGAGCTGTGTGCCACCGCCCCCGGGGCATAATTTGGCCCCGTGCATTATGGTACTAGGTATTCCAGGTTGCAAGTGTTCACAGCACTTGGAGATGAGAAACATTTCCCCCATCTCTTGACACCAATCACCCTTTCTTCTTGTTTCTTTCCTTCCTGCAGGCATGCGTGTGTGATTCGAGGTCAGGTGATGACAGCAGATGGGACCCCTCTAGTCGGAGTGAACATCAGCTTTGTCAACAACCCTCTTTTTGGCTACACAATCAGCAGGCAAGATGGCAGGTACGGTAACTGCTGTACGGCTTATTGCATGTGTGTGCTGCGAATCGGACAGCCCTCGCCAGAGACAGACTGTCCCGTCAGACAGGAGATGCGACTGTTACTACCTAAATAATGTTATAGACGTACCAAGAAGTATCGGGGCCTTGCTGTACTAGGTGCTGTACATTCATTTAAAATCGAGGGTTCCTGCCCCCAAACAACATATTCTTGAATTTTGATGCAAAATTAATTAAATGTTTAAGATCAGGATTTTGGTTTTTTAGAGGCAAGAGGCTAATATTTGAACTGTTACACTGAGTCATAACAAAATCGGCATGAATCGGGACAATCTTCCATTTTACCATTTGTCTCCCAGAGCTAATTGGTTGTGTCTTTTTGAAAGACAAAAACAAAAGATGAGGAGTTTTTGACTGTCTGAGCTGCCCCTGTTCTATCTAATGCTGATTAACACCTTGAAGGGGAAGACTTGCCTTCACTGATTTTTAACACTTCTCCAGTCTGCCACTCGCATTAGGGACTCAGACTGGCTGGGCCAGAACAGCCAACAAGGTGATAATGAAAGAGATGAGTTTCATGCAATCTTGTCGCTCTCCCAGGGGACCTGGTGCCTACTGTACCACTGACAGGGACCAAATGTGTTCTAGCCATTGGAAGACAGGACAGTAAAAATCAGGGAACTGAGACATTGTTATGGACAACGGATGGTCTCAGTTAATTGAGGAGGCATCATAACAGAAGCTGGTGCTTCTCTAAGTCTTATGGTTTAGGACCACTTGAGAAAGACCCTCCATCATTCACAGTTCTGCTGTAGTTTAATGCCGTTTGTCTCAGCGGAGGTACTGTTGATTTACACTGAGAGATGAGGGTCAAGCAAAACTTCCTTGCTTGCAGAACAGATGCAGCACGAACAGAGCAAACTTTCCTCAGACGGCCACAGCCCGTGTCTCTATACAAGGGCCTTCTGTAGGGTGGGTGGGTAAGAGGACAGAGGCCAGCTGCAATCCTGCTGACCTTTGCACCTTTAAGGCAGTAATGTCTCACAACCTAAGATGCCTGGTGGAGAGGGGGCCCTCAGCTAGATGATGCGTACAGCAGTATAATCTGGGGGAAGCTCCCTCACATCATCCCCTTCCCAACTTCAGGCACAGAAGTGATCCAGGGGCAGGAGGAGCAATAGCTGCACCCGTGTCCTCCGGCTGAGTGATGGGAGCTACAGGGAACCATTACCAGTGAGCATACAACCTCACTGCACAGGAGCTGTAAATTCAGCCTCCCTCACAAGTACCAAGGTCATTTAAAAACAATAAAAAGACCATGCTCAGCTCAAGGATAGAATAAAAACTAGTCCCCTTGCCACTAGTCATGGCTGGCGTCCAACTCCAGGAGAATGGGTGGAGTTAGACAGCTCTTGCAGACACTGGGATTTTCTGATGCTTTCCTCTTGCTACATCTGTTGATGGGATGCTGTTGTTCAGCCTGGGGTGTCGTGCTAATGTCTGGTATTCAGCAAACAGCCAGGTTTTAAGTATCTTGAAAGATCAGAATAAGAAGGCAGCTGGGGGGCAGAAATTGAATTTGGCATTTGTTCTCAGCTTCTCTTGCCTGACCTGGTGCAGTGCTACCGGTGTGCACTCAGGGGTAGCAGTGTATGAATAGGTCAAGGTGCTAAAGTACAAGGAGATCCCGTCCATTTTTGCTGGTCTTGTCAACTGCCAAGGAAATCACTTCTGAGCAAGAGGTGGCCTGGTCTGAATATGTAAGCACAGAGCAAGGCATCAAGAAGACCCATGTTCTAATCCCACATGTGCTGTTGATTTTGTGTGATATATCCCCTGGGTTAAACAGCCTGAGAAATGGAGAGACCCCGTCCTGGTCTGGCTCAGGGGAGTGTTTATTGATTAAATACTATGTGTAAAGAGCTGTCAAAAATGCAAAGCACTATTGATATTATAAATGTTTCCATGTGCTTTGATATGTATCCATAATGTTCCAGATACAGTAGGCAGTTCTTCTCCTAGCCATTTTCACAGACCCATTTTCATCTGAGGCTGTCTGCATAGGGAAGTTGCACTGATTTGGCAAAATCAGCATAGAAACCAATTGAGTTAAATCCATGCAGCTCCTACATGCCTGCAAAATAAAAGGGTGCGCCCAAGGGAATTGCACCAATTTAGCTAAATTGTTGTCTAAACTGGTCTGTTTAAATCAGTGTGGCTTTCCTGAATAGACAGGGCTGACAATGACTATCCAACCTGGCATCCCAAATTGCAAATTGCAATGAACTGGAAGAAACTAGCACTTGGATTTTATGTCACCATAAATAGTTTCACTGTACTCTTGTTTATATAAGCAGGTTTCTCTCTGCTATCACACTAGTAAGCTGTACCATCCAGTGATTAAATTGTAGTCCCATGTCATTCAGTGGCCAAACTTCCATTGACTTATTGCAGGGGTCAGCAACCTACCACCTGCAGAGCCATGCTGTTTGGCCTGTGAAGCCAGAGGCTTCATCAGCATTCAGGCCTTGAAGGGCTTTGCCCATGCCATGGCCAGGCAGTGAAGAGAAGCAGTGGCAGTGGGCAGGTCAGAAGTGCTGACCCACCTTAAACCTCAGCTGGGTTGTTTGTCCACTGCTCATAAAACACTGATGGCCACTGATTCACTGGTTTTAGGAGTTCACCCCGCCTCACCCCCAGTATCCAGATTAAGAAATTAAATGCCTGTGTATATTGTCAGACTAGTCCTCATGGTGCACATACATTTTAGGTACTCAGGCATAAGGAAAATGAACAGGTTTCAGAGGGCATTACTAGATACTTGATTTTCCTTTATGATGAAGACTGCAGGACTGGCTGGTTCAGGGGACTGGTAACAGATTAAAAAGTGTACTTTAAAATGAAACTTTTGCCTTAGATAAAGAATGAAAATGGTGGTTAATGGTGGCCAGAAGATGTTACAGGTTGGGTAGTGTTTCTGAACTAATCTAGGTGGTTGCATGGCTAGGAGGCCTTCCCACCTTATTAGCTGGCACCATAATAATGGAAGTGCATGGCTAGGAGGCCTTCCCACCTTATTAGCTGGCACCATCATTAGCTGTCCCCTCAGAGACACCGAAGACCAACTGGACTGCAAACCCTGCAGCTAGGCTATGCAGGTAGCTTGCATTGCTGCTGGCTCTTTTGGGCCCATTGCATGCCTCACTCTTATGGCCTGTCCCTCTTGTTGCTAATGCTGCTTCAGTTTTAATTAGAATTGTATCTGTTAGGGTTCAATAAACTTGCTTTTAGTTCAGGACAACCATGTATTAGCCTGCTTGCCTTAGCCTCCCATAAGACCCATAGCATCATAGGGACGTAACCCTGGCCTCTTTTCAGATAAACCAGCCCGTAAGTCCATGCAGGAAACAGGATTTTTACAATGGCAAGGAAACACTCCTCGGAGAGCAGGATCCCACCTGGTTCTTTCAGCCTGAAGGGTGTTTTGCTGACATTAATTTTGATTTCACTGCTGTTATTCTCTCACTCTCTCTTTTTTGGCTGGTTCATCAAGGTACCTTCAAGACTGAGCCTAAAGAACCAGTACCTGATGAGTGGCAGCGTCGCCTGAAATGCATGGCAAGCCTGTGTTTCACAGCTGCTTGAGTCTGACATTAGATCGATGCCTTCCCTTCCATGTCATGTTTTATGTCCACAGGAGAAGCAAGCTTTTTTTTTTCTTTTCCTGCAGGTTAACATGCCTGTCCAAAGCTCATTAGAGCCCAGAGCTCTTAGCAACTCTGCTTACCAACGAGTGAAGTGGAGGCGTTTCCAAAAATAGACCTTTCCTAGTTTTCTAGGCACTTGTTGGACATAATTTTCTTTCTTTTTTTTTATGTTTAGCCCTTCCTTTGCCCCCTTTAGTGCTCAGCGTCATGCAGAGTGAGGGCTTGCCAAATGCTAATTGACTGTTAAAAATGTTCTCATCAAAGCCCAAATGCTGTTCAGCTAGCTGGCAAGCAGCAGTGAGCTCCTTGTTAGGTTTTTAAACGCCAAGTACATAGGTCTGGGAAGATGATGCTCCCACTTCAGTCACCAAATAAACACCTTCCATAGCATGAACTTCTGTGCATGACTTTTTCCTCCCCCTTTGTGGACTTAATTTAGCAGTCTTTTCTAAACAACTTTTTTTTTGGGGGGGGGGGGGGGAGA